ATACATACATATCTCTTGGGAGAAGAATGTGGATTAAGTCTTGTTCCACAGGACTCTGGTGGTTCTGGAGAGGTCAGATGCATAAGAATTTAGTAAACAAGTCAAGGATAGCTAGAAAATCCAGCTTCTGCTTCTGCCTTTAGGGACATCAAGGCAATAAAAGTATAAGTGCCTGAGGTTATTCTATTACTCAACTTCTGGATGTATTTTATGGACAACACTCTTGCTAAGTGAATACTTCTTACCTAAGGAGATGGGACTACGTCTCTTTCACCCATTGGAGCAATCTCCCACCATCATTTGAGCTCTAGATTAGTGTTGATTTTCCAAAGAAAGGGCTGTCTGCCCAGAAGTTCACAAAGAAGACAAATTTGATCAGCAAAGCATAAGTCACTAAGAACATTTTGCTACAAAAGCCTGCAGAAGTGAGGATAAAGTATCAGCTGGGCTTCTAATTCACCCTGTGGACTAATATTTCTCAATCTTAGCAACTTTTTTAAGATTTCAAATCCCAGAATTCCCCAGCTGTGCATTTTAAAGTTGCCAAATCTGAGAAACACTTCTGGAAACCAGTAGTTCTCAAAATGTGGAGGATACTTGGAAGACCCCAAGACCCTTTCAGAAGTCTATGAACTCAAATAAATGTTTTTAACATTTCCCAGTTTTGCTTTCTAAAGCACTAGATACTGATAGATAAAACCATATAAAGTTCTTTGGGGTCCTTAATTATTTTTATATTTGAATGTTAAGGGGCCCCAAGACAAAATGTCTGAGAACGACTGCTGCTGTAGGCCTAATCTCACAACAGCAACAGGGGAGCCCTCATGCTTCTCTTTTCAGACACAATAGTTTGTCTCAGTTGTAGCTCAGCTCAGACTCGGCTCATATCATGAGTCGGACAGCAAATAAATTTAATAGCCAGTATGACAAAATGTTTGTTATAGCTTGGAAGAAAGGGTGCATAAATAAATAGATAGAATGTGAGGTTTGCAGGATTTATCTTGCGCACAGGAAGCCTTGCGCACGGTCACTCATGCCCTTGTCACCTCCCATCTGGACTATTGTAATGCTCTCTACATGGGGCTCCCCTTGAAGAGCACTCGGAGGCTCCAACTGGTCCAGAATGCGGCCACCTCGTTATGCCCATGTTAACACCTCTCCTGTGCGAGCTGCACTGGCTCCCAGTGGTCTTCCGGGTGCAATTCAAGGTGTTGATCACCACCTTTAAAGCGCTCCATGGCATAGAACAAGGATATTTACAGGACCACTTTCTGCCACCAATAGCCTCCCACCGACCAGTCCGCTCCCACAGAGACGGTATCCTCAGGGTATCGTCGGCCAAGTTATGTCGGCTGGCGATACCCAGGAGGAGAGCCTTCTCTGTCGGAGCTCCTGCCCTTTGAAATGAATTGCCCCCGGATATTCGTAACATCTCTGACCTCCAGGTCTTTCGCTGTGCCCTCAAGACCCTACTGTTCGACAGACAGGCGGGGCTGTCTAACTGAATGATTTTAAATTGGGTTTTAATATTGGGTTTTAAAATTTGGCCAAAACTATTGAATGATTTTAATTAATTTTAACTATGATATTATATATTTATGTTTTTAATCTTGGCTGTACACCACCCCGAGTCCTTCGGGAGAAGGGCGGTATATAAATAAAATTATTATTATTATTATTATCATCATCATCATCATCATCATCATCATCATCATCATCATCATCATCTGGGTTTGGTTCCCTTTGGAAGAAGACCACAATACATCTTATTTGGGTTTTGAAATATCAGTGCTTATTTACTGTGATATACGCCTCTACTGTAATATAGATTAAGATGGAATAGGCAACCTAAGAGCCCTCTTTGTTGTTTGCATTTCAATTTTTATCAACACTGCCTGTTTTCTTAGAGATAAAGTAAGATTTTATTTTTTATTTTTTTATTTTATTTTATTTCCAATTTATATAGGACTCAGGGCGGTGTACAGCCAGAAGATGATAGCTGTAATCTAAAACTTTAGGATAGCAGCTGCCTGACCATCCCTACAATATCACAGGGAATTCAGTAACATACATCACATCTTACTTTTGTTCCAATTGGAATCAGTAACTCTTTCAACAAGGGAAAGGTTGCTTTAGTTCCACATAACCTCTTCACAAAACTTTGCACTCTTCAGAGAAATTAGGACTGCAACTCCAAGTATCCTTGGAGGAAAGGTGGAAGAATTTTGGGAATTACAGTCTCAGTAAATCCAGAAGGTGCTGAAATGGTGGTATAGTCAACTGGTTGGCTATACCACTGACAGCAGTTCATCCCAAATAATTTTTACATGAAGCAACTAATTAAGAATCCAATCATGCACTCTCTCTCCGGTCCTTCTTACTACATGGCATTCTACAAATATCAATAAAGGAGAATATTTGTACTCAGGGTTGAAGTGAAGTGAATCTCTCTGTTTGAGGAAGTGGCATAACATTCTCAGAGACTCTTCCCATCCTGCTTACAATCTTTTTGGACTGTTGCCTTCTGGCAGAAGATATAGAACAATTAAAACTTGGACCACACATTTTCTGAATAGTTTTTATCCCAGAGCTATAATTGCACTCAACAATGAACTAAAGGGCCACCATCAGTGAGCTTTTGGACAGTATTACTTGGTCTGTTGTGTGGATGTTTGGATGGTTTAGGGGTGGGGAATTGTGGTGGGTGGGAGTGCGTTTGGGGATTATGTGTGTTGGACCTGGTCTTTGGGTGTTACGTAAATTTCGCTGTATGTGTATACTGTGTATACACATACAATGACAATAAAGTTTTATTTATTTATTAAGTGAGGGGTCCTTGGCGCTCTCTGAGCTTGACTGTTTTCTTGCAGATGTTCATTACCCAAACTAGGCAACACCATCAGTGCTAGATAATGAAACGTCTACAAGAAAACAGACAAGCTGAGAGAACACCAAGGATCCCTCATTCTGCAGATAAATCTGAAATTCAGGATTGTTTTCAAGTAGAGAAAAAAATAAATCTGCAGGATCAACTTGAACTGAACGTGCTGGAATTTGTTTGGAATCCAGTGTGTAATGATTGTATTCCCTAGTTTTGTCTCTAATTTTGTAGCTGGGCACTTGGCAGCATGGCCTTAAAAGTAATTCTTCCCTCTAAAACCTTTTCCATTTTAAGAGCTGTAATGGCTATTTTTTTAGTTGGGGTATTTTGAAATCATATAGAACAGTTGAAGTCTGTTCTATATGTTTGAAGCCATATATCTAGAACTCTCTTTTTTTTTGCTTTATTTTTTTCCTAGAGCAGGATAAAAGGAGGGTCTGTGAAGATGGACTAGAATTCCAAAGTGAGGAGATTAGTATATCTAAGGAGCTTTTTCTAGACCCACAGCTTTCTCTTCTGGCATAATGAAAGCTGCCACACCATATAAACAAAGTAGGAGCGCCTAATCTTGGGACTTCAGGCCAGCATGTCAAGCCTCAAAACCACTTCAAAAGTTGCCACCGGTTTAATTATTACTGTGACAGGAGGGAAAGTTATTAAACATATGAAAGGTGGAAGGAAGAGAAGAAGAGGATTAGCAGCAAGAAGGTGGATGGACTCAGTTACGTGACGAGGAGTGCACCACTGGGAGACTTGAAATAACAGGTTATGGAGAAGATCTATCTGTGTGGTTGTTAGGAGTCAAAATGAATTATCAATCAATCAAAGTATTGGCAATATTTAATTTAGTGTTCAATATAAATTAAGTCAAATCTAGTCTTCCCTCTTGCCTGCCTACACTACGCAGTGGCTAAGCATGGCTATTGGTCTAACAAGGGTGGTATGTCCCTGCAAAGTGCATAAAGTATTTATTTATTTATTTATTTTTCATATTTCTATGCCGCCCACTCTCTGAGGACTCTGGGTGGCTTACACCAAAGACAGTATACTAAATAGCATATTGCCCCCAACAATCTGGATCCTCATTTTACCCACCTCGGAAGGATGGAAGGCTGATTCAACCTTGAGCCGTTGAGATCTGATCCGCTGATCTGCTGAACTAGCAGTCAGCTGAAGTAGCTGCAGTACTGCACTCTAACCACTGCGCCACCTCGGCTCTTAAAGTAGATTTTAAAGTAGGAAGAATTTCCTGGAAGCCTTCAAACAGAAGCTAGGTAGGCATCTGCCCAAAATATTTTGGCAGATCTGCCCTGGGCAGGATCTTGGACTAGATGTTCTCCGCAGTGTTTTTCAACTCTAGGATTTTATGCTTTTAACTTCCATAAAGCTACAGATACCAACATTAAAAACAACAGTAGGAATTGGGTCTTCTACCCCTGTGAACTATTCCCATCAGTGCCAATCAGCATGATCAACTCAGATTACAATTCGGGAGTCTCAAATCCAGAGGTGGGCCACTGGAGGTTTGCAGGGGTTCGGAATAATCTCTAGCTAAGATTCTGTGCAGTTCGGAGAACCCCCAAATCCCACTCCTGGCTGGCCCCGCCCACTCCACCCCGCCCCTCCCAGGAGTCCCCACGTGGCCCGTTTTGGATGAAGGTAAGTGCAGGGCATGCACGGGTGTTTGGGAGGGCGAAAAATGGGCCTACCGGAAGTAGAGGCCCTCCAGAGGAGGCCGTTTTCGCCCTCCTGAAGGCTTGATGAAAGCCTCCGGAGCCCGGGGAGGGCAACCCTCCCTGCCCCGGCCTGGTGCAGGAGGCCGACTAGGCCATGCCCACCATGGCCACACCCACCCAGCAATCGGGCAGAGAACCCCTTACTAAAATTTTTGCAACCCACCCTTGCCCAAATCTCTGATTTAATCTTTAAATCTTATTAGATGCAGCTCAAACTTTTCTTTTAAAAGAAGCTCCCGACTTTTCTACTTTGCAGCTTGATCTGTTCCACCGTCTGATGTAAGGGTTGTAAATCATAGGAGTGCTGAGTGCTACATATACTAAAATAAAGTTAAAAAGCGGCCTTCTTTTAATAACTAGTCCCGAAGGATCTCATCACTCACCTTAAGGAAGGAGCTGCTGAAATGCACCCCGCAGGCTTTGCAACTCTGCTCTGAAGCTGTGGGAGATGGGAAGGAGCTGTAGCCAGCATTGGAGTATGCTCGAGTTCCTGGCTGCGGGCAGTGTGGCATGTCTTCAGGCTGTCCATTCAGGCAAAACCAGTTGCAACATGCAGCCCACATGATAGCTGTGAATTTTTCAAACAAAAGTCAGTCAATAGGATGAAAGAAGCCAGTTTTCTTGGCTTGAAATAAGACCTTAGAAAGCAAGAAGTTAGACAACCAAGGCACAGAATATTTTTTTTCTGGGATTTAGAGAGACTAATTTTCCTTTTACACAGGTGAATCTGGTAAACGATCTCATTTCACAGCATGACAAAAATGGGTCAGACTCATTAGGAGCAGAGAGGTACTACACCTCCTTATTATCATACAGACACACACACCCATGGGATCTAAAGCTCAGCTGTTTTCAAGTAATGGGGGAATATATGGGGAATATATATGGGGGGGAAATATATTTTTCTCAGTTAAAACATATTAATTTTAAATCCCAAAACACAACAATTTATTTTATTTATTTATTTTATTTTATTAAAATTTATATGCCGCCCTTCTCCCGAAGGACTCGGGCAGCTCACCAGTATAAAATGACAATAAAAACAATATAATTTAAAATCCCACAGTTAACTAAAAAACCCAACCAGATCATTTGAGTAAAAAGCCAGGTCTTAAGATCTTTGCGGAAGGAACGGAAGTCAGGGGCTGTCCAGAGCTCGGTGGGTAATTCATTCCAGAGGGTCGGCGCAGCCACCGAGAATGCCCTCAATCTGGGGGCCACCAGCTGACATTGTCTGGCCGATGGCACCTGGAGGAGGGCAGCCCTATGTGACCGCACTGGGCGGTGGAGGCCGGTAGGAGCTGGTCCCGCAAGTACCCCGGGCCCGTGCCATGTAGGGCTTTATAGGCAAGAGCCAGCATCTTGAAGCGGATCCGAAAGGCTACTGGCAGCCAGTGCAGCTCGTGCAGGAGAGGTGTTACACGGGAGTAACAAGAGGCTCCCGTAACAACCTGCGCAGCTGCATTCTGGACCAGCTGGAGCCTCCGAATGCACCCCAAGGGCAGCCCCATGTAGAGGGCATTACAGTAATCCAAACAAGAGATAATGAGAGCTTGAGTGACTGTATGGAGGGCATCCCTGTCTAGGAAAGGGCGCAACTGGCGCACCAGGCGAACCTGTGCAAAAGCCCCCCTTGTCACAGCCATCAGATGATCTACCAAGGACAGCCGGGAATCAAGGAGGACGCCAAGATTGCGAACCCCTTCAGAGGGAGTCAGCAACTCCCCTCCCATCTGCAGAGATGGGGATACTAGATCAGGTGATGCCGGCATCCATAGCCACTCAGTCTTGGAGGGGTTGAGTCTGAGCCTGTTCCGACCCATCCAGACCCGTACCATCTCCAGGCACTGGGACATCACAGAAAGGGCATCCCTGGATTGGTTCGGGGTAGAGATGTAAAGCTGAGTATCATCAGCATACTGATGATATCCCACCCCGAAACTCCAAATGATCTCACCCAGCAGCTTCATATAGATGTTAAAGAGCAGGGGGGAGAGAACCGACCCCTGCGGCACCCCACAAGTGAGGGGCCTCGGGGAGGATCTCCTCCCCCCCCCCGCCCAAACAAACTGCGTACGGCCTGAGAGGTAGGAGGAGAACCACTCTAGGACAGTGCCTCCCACCCCCAACGCCCGAAGCTGACGCAGTAGGATACCATGGTCGATGGTATCAAAAGCTGCTGAGAGGTGAAGTAGCACCAGGATGGAGGAATAACCAACATCCCGGGCCCGCCAGAGACCATTCACCAGGGCGACCATGCCGTTTCCGTGCTGTGTCCGTGCGTGAAACCCGACTGGTCCAGGTCCAGGTAATCCGCTTCCTCCAGGAATTGTGGAAGTTGATAGGCCACCACAGACTCAACAACCTTCGCTATAAAGCGAAGGTTGGAGACGGGACGAAAGTTGTTCAGGGAGGCTGGATCCAGGACAGGCTTCTTGAGGAAGGGCCGAATCACCGCCTCCTTAAGTACGGTGGGGAAGGCCCCATCCCTCAAAGAAGCATTGATAGTATGCAAATGCTATTTTCTGGAAGCAAGGACAATGCAAATCTCATAAATTAGTAGGAAGCAAAGTGTTCACTAGTTTATAATGCAAAGGATCAGAGTCTGAGCTACAAATTCACAAATCCCTTGTTCAAGTCTCCCCAAACCTATCTATTCATCAGACTGGCTACAAATCTGAGCAAATTGGAAATAAAGGTAGTCCTTGACTTACAAGAGTTTGTTTAGTGACTGTTTGAAGTTACAATGGGATTGGAAAAAGTGACTTATGACCTTGTTTTTCCACACTTATGATGTTGCAGCATCCCCATGGTCACATGATCGAAATTCAAATTCTTGGCAACTGATTCAGATTTATGACGGTTGCAGTGTCCCAGGGTCACGTAAACTCACCCTTTGTGACCTTCTGACACGCAACGTCAATGGGGAAACCAGATTCACTTAACAACCGTGTTACTAACTTAATAACTGCAGTGGTTCACTTAACAACTGTGGCAAGAAAGGTCGTAAAATGGGGCAAAATTCACTTAACAACTGTCTCGCTTAGAAACAGAAATTTTGGGCTCAATCGTGGTTGTAAGTCAAGGACTATACTAGCCTGCCTCATATAACAATACCATGATAACATTGCCAACTTTTCATAAGAGATACCTGTGTGATATTTTTAAAAATATAGTTGTCAGGGTTCCAAGCAACATCCCCAACGAAAGAAGACTCCAAGGCTAGAAATTCCTCAAAGTTCCATTTTATTAGAGATGTCATATTGGCACATCTGGGAAAACCCGAATCTGAAAGCTTCCAGGTTTTCCCCACCCATAGGAAAGTCCAAGTCCCTTCCCCTGCACCCACATGTCCATCACATGGTCCAATCATTGCACCGTCCCAACTGGTGATGCCTCCCAGTCACACCACTCCAGGTGCAGGGCCGAATGTCCTTGACTCTCAGAGAAAGGAATGTTACTATGGCTAAATATCTCCGCCACTCTATGCAATCCCCCCTCCCATTTTTCCACAGCACTAAGTGTGGCAGCCCTGAAGATCCAAAGAAAAAGATGGCCTCCAGGGCTGACAATAGTCCAGTTGTCTACTTCACAAATCACCTAAGATTTGAGCGTATTTCTCTCATTTTAGACAAAGAAGGGTAGGATTATCTCAACTGCTGCCCATAGGTTTACCTCCTTTCCTTCTTATCCCATTTCATGCTGCCCCTTTAAACAGGTTTCCAGTAGAATTGTGTCACTGGATCATTGGCCAAACATTGCCTATGAAGAACAGCTGCCAAGCAATATGGCAATAGCAAAGCAATAGTTGCTTCCTTAGCTCTCCTGGTGCTAATACAACAGCAATAGCACACCTGTTCCATGCACCCCACAAAGAGTTTAGAAACAATTTCAAATGCAAGAAAATGGCATTGAAGTACAGGTAGTCTTCAAGTTACAACTTAGCGACCATTCAAAATATTATGACCTGCCTGAGAAAAGACGACTTTCAAAGTTCCAACTATCTCACCCCCCCCCCCATGGTCATGTGATATTCTGGGTGCTGTGCAGCAACGTGGCCACATTTACATTTACAGTCTTCTGCAGCATCCCATGGTCTCGCATCTTACTTGCACGCTTACTTCTAATTTTTGGCAAAACTGCGCCTCAGTGAACAATGGGTCTGCTTAACAATCGCTGCAAAAAACTTGTACAGTTGAATAGATCACAGGGCCAACCTGTTTTACGAACACTACGTAATGGCAAGCTCCTATACGATTGTTATTCGAGGACTCATAACTTTGAGTAGGTCTCATAACTTTGTAGATAAAATCTCTTTGATTGCATCACCCATAATTGGCGTAAAATAAATAAGTTTAAATCGCTCTCAACAAGACTTTGATGACATAAATACACCCAATCCCTTTGTATAATAGCAACAAGCAGCTTTGGAAGGAGGCCGACAGCTATTATATTTCGGGCCTAAGTTCTTGTACCCATTGACATACTATCTGAATTTAAATCAAAGGCAAAAGACAAGAGCAAAGGGAAATTCTGCATCCTAGATAATAAATTGTGAACATATTAAGAGGGCATAATAAGTAAAATGCCCAGTAAAATTATGGTAGTAGCAATTACTATCAACTATAGAGTTTTAGCCTATTATTTCCTAAACCTCAAATGCTCTGGACCAGTTTTTGACAATTGTTACGATAAAGATTTCATAGTGACATGGCGCCAAATCATCAGGAAGAAAGAAGTGAAAGTTAAGACAGCTGTTGCTACATTTAATTAAGGAAGTAATTGCAATGGGGAAAAACTATATGAAAGGTCAGATGATTCATCTCACAATGCACACATATGACTAGCAGGAAAAATTGCCAGGGAATTTCTAAAAGCCTGGCACTCTGACAAATCAGCACTCAAGAGACACATACACATTAACCATCTATAGCAGTGGTCACCAACTGGTGGTCCGTGGACCACTGGTGGTCCGCAAGAAAATTTTGGTGGTCTGCAGAAAAATTATTTGCATTTTTTTATATTGCATTAAATCAGAGACCCTCAAACTATGGCCCCTGGGACAGATACGTGCAATGAACGTTTGTGTTGCTGCAGAGTGTCTCCCCATTTGCGGTCTTTTTGTGCGGGTCAGAGGGGGTCAGAAATTCCAACTGGGGGTCTTCTTCAGCTTCCTGATGTGGGGCTTTGGGCGAAGGCTGGAAGGAAGTGCTGCTGGTGGCAAAGAGCCAGAGGGCCTTGTTCCAGTGAGACTCCATCATGGCCTGGAACTGGCTGACCATCTCAGCCTGCTGAGCCTCCAGACACCGGTACCTGGCCTTGCACTCTCGCAGGTCTTCCCTCTGCTTGGAAAGCCTATGCTTGTAGTCCTCAGTGAGGTGCTTCTGCTGAGCCTCCTTCTCGGCCAGATCTAATTTGAACTGAGCCAGCTGTTTTGCCAACTGTTTCTCATGGTGGCTACTTAGCTCCAACAACTGTTTCCTGTTGGGGCCCTAAGGAGCCTGGGAAGGTGAGGAGTGGCTGGGAGGGGAGGGGCGAGTAGAGGATGGTGAGGTACCCCTCCACGTG